CCCTCGGTTCCCCTGCCGTCCGCCCTGTGGTTGGCCGCTGGCGCCGGCCGCCGGCTGTAAGTACAGCTGCTGGTAGCTGCCGTGCTGCCTGGGCTGGCCCGGGCGGCCCAGGGGCGGCTGCGGGGGCCGGTGTTTGCTTGGCGCATCAGGCGGCGAAAGCTGTCATCCAGCCAGCCGGCATCTGCGGGCCCCCTCGGCTGCTGGCCGCGCTGGGCTTGCGGGGGAGCCCTCGCCTGGGAGCCATTGCTGTGGCTTAAGGAGGCGAAGATCGGCCGTACGGCGGCAGCGGGATCTGAGTGGGAAGGGAGAGCAGCCGTGCTCTTGGTATCTGCAGTGCTGCGTTTGGCCAGAGATAACCCGTTGGCTTTGGAAGAGTTGCCTGTCTCTCTTTCTGGTGCTGCAGTCTTTCTCCAGCAGCTCTTTTTAGCCTGAAAAAGCTCTCATTGTGTCGTAAATTTTTTCTACATGTTATTTGTCTCGTAGGCTATCGCTAAAGTTGCCTTAAGGGTATTCAGCATGAATGCTGAGTGCCATTTAAAATATAAAGGAGATAGAATAACTTGTGAAAGTTGGGTATGGTTAACTAAAAAAAGTGAAAATTCCTGCACTAGTCAGCAATTGGGAGAGCATTATTCAAGCTGGACTGTAGTATATAGCTGTTTTACCTTGTAGTATTTGATCGAGTTGTTCTCCATAAACACAAAGTACCTTAGAAAAGGTAAAACTCTGTGTTTTTAATTTGGCTCATAGCATGGTTGCCTGTCTGAGAATTCTAGTAAATACTGAATGATAGTAAATGGAGGGCACCCTCCTAACTAGTTGGAGAGGGGAGGTCATAATAGCACAGGTATCACTTTGCTGTTTGCTCCCTGCCCCCTTCAGGTAAACAAGGTCTTCCCAGATCATGTTTTTTTCCTGCTTATGCTTGCTGATCTGTTCTTGTTACAGGAAAATACTTCCCTCAGTTTTCTTCCCAACGGAAATGGTATCATATATTCATTTTAGGTGATAGTTATTTGTGTCAGGAAAATGAGTGGCTACAGAAAAGGAGTGGAAGAAAATTGAGACAGTACTGGCTAGTGTAATGGACAGCTGAGTGAGTTAACATAGTTTCCATGATCCTTTTTCCATCTGTCAAGGGAACCTTCTACAGGAAGGCTATGATAAACAAGTAGGAATGTCAAAGTCTGCTTATCAAGCAAGAACTTACTGTTTGTTTTTTTTTTTTCCTTTTTAATCACAAAGATCATAGAGTAAAGGTAGCCTCACCTCCATTTATAAAGATGCTTTAAAAACCAAATCCCAAATCTGGAATGTTCTTTGAAAAGGCTTTACTTTTTTCCTAGTGCCAATATTTGATTTATTGTCAGTGGTGTTTTATTCCTAGAATTTTACTTACATGATAGTTATTTAACTACCATTAAGATGGCTATATAGGCATTCTAAGCAATACAACCACTTGGCCCTAGTTAGCCTCTAAAATGCTTTTTTTGTATCTTCAAAGGGGGGGAGCTTAAGGTTGTGATCAATGGGTTTAAGCTTTGTGGCCTGAGTTTAGTTCATTTTCCTGTGTTTTTACTATTCAATTTTATAAGTAATACCACTTTGTTAATCAAGCATTGCTAATCTCTGACTCATGCTTGCTTGTAAGGCATCACAGCATGTCTCGTTGACTTTATCAAATCTTCCCCCCCCACACCCCCTCCCCCAGCCTGTAACCACAGTCTAGGAATGTGATTTTCCTCTGCCTCTTATACTTCTCTAGGTAGATGGAAAATTCCGCCAAGCTCTTAGCACTGTTATACACTTCATATAGGTGCAAATATTTATGCAAGGTTGGAAAAAAAAAAGAATGCAGGTTTATCTGGAACAAAGTTCACTAGGAGAATGCTAAGTTAATGTTACTGAATAGAGTGTCCTGTGGTTTGTTAGAAGCTTGATGCTGATGATACTTTACCTACTAAACAGTTAGAGAAAGGGACTTTGTAGATGTGAAACAATTTGGCAGTACTACGTGTCCCTTTTGAACTGATGTTCTGGTAAGTGCTCCTAAGGATTCTTTTTTTGGCCTCCTTACTGTGAGACATGACTTCTTCAGTTCATCTGGAATAAGTGTGAAGCACTGAACAGAACACTTAACCAATTTGATTGAGTTCAGATTAAAAAGGTATCTTTTAGGGGACTTGAAGCATTGTCTTTCAAAAGCCATACAGTGACACTTAATGTCTTGAATGAAATCTAAGTTTGGATTAAAGTTCTATATTATTTTTTTATATTGTGGTGAAAAACACTTCTTAGCATAATAAGTTTAGAAACATCTGCAAAGGTAATGTTTCCAAGATCTGAGGAATAATGTGTCCACAAGAACATCTACTTAGTGACAGAAAATCTCCATCAGGTTCTCAGTAACAGGTGCTAAGCCTGAAGTTGACAGTCCTAAATCTTACATGATGTTATATGGAAATTGTTTGCTTTGCATACAAACATTTTGAAATTTGAGTTTGAAAAAAACCTTCAAGTAGTTCTAATTGCTTTTGTATTTCAGTAACAACTATAAGAAGCAGATGAGGGGTCCAAGATGTTGCATGTCCCCATTCTGTTGCAAGCTTTTGGAAAGCCATTGGAATGTAACAGTATTCAAACTATTTGGTTCACACCCTTTGTTCCCATGCTTTGAAGGAGTCTACCTAAGGATTAATAATAAACTAATGCTCAATCAGAGTTTAGGAGAAAAAATATTTTAGTGGTAACAGGTGATGGATTTTCTGATGGATATTTATATGTTTTCTAAGTATAGAAATATCATCTATTTATATGAGTTTATGCTAATGTTTTAGACAAGAGTTTCAGAATGTCTAATTGCAAAAAAACTTTCTCATGATTTAACAGAAGTAAAATAGAAGGTACAGCTCTAGGTCTTGACTTAAACTTTTAGAAGGACCTTAGTGGGATAGCAGTATAGATAAAATCGTGTTTCAGCTAGCTTTAAGCCCTGATTTTTAACAAGCAGTCATAAGTTGCAGATTTTGTTTCTGGTTCTCCTACGGTCAGCAGGGAACGTCAAAATCTTTATTTTGCATGAGAAGGCTCTGAGAAGTGTCTAGTGATGCAGCTCTCATGAGGGATGAGAGCCAAAAAGGAAATTATGAAAGAATACAGCGGTGGACCTGAATCATCTTCCTTTGCCATATAGCTATGATAGGCTTTTTGTCTCGTATGATGTTAACAGAAACACCTCTTCTCCTGTCAGTAGCTACATACTATTTATCACATACTAGCTGTTACGGAGGTGTTCCAAAGATGGAGTTGCTGACATTAGTTTGGAAATGGTATCTGAGTAGAATTCTCATCACCCTCTTTCTTTCCAGGGAGGAATGGGAGTAGAGGGCTTCTTACCAGAGATGTAACTCCAGGCTATTCTTTTTTCATCATCAGTTGGTGTTATTGCAATCATATGTAAAACACTAAATCAGAAATGCAGAAATTCGAAGTCTTTAAAATACTGGTGCCTGCTTTTTATGTGTCTGTTGCTTAACTTGAAATTGAGCAAGCTGCCCAGTCTGATTGTAGAGAAGTTGCTTTAGGTGGAACTGAGTAAATTGCCCAACCCTGTGCAAAGAATGAAAGTTGCTGAGGAGACAAGGGGAAGAAAAAAAAAAACAGTTGCTGGCAGGTCATCCTAAAGGAGGGAACAGTTGAACCTAAACAAATAGCCTGGAGGAAGAACAAACCTGAAAAAAAAATTTCCTCAGTTGTCACAGATCAGACAACTGCTGTGCAACCTGTTCCCAAATAAGTTTTAGCAAGTAACAAAAGCATTGTACATGTACTGGTGAAGGCTTTTAAAACAATTGAATCTGAAAATGACACTAAGTCCTAGTTTAAAATTGTAGAAAATCACACCTTTACTGAGTAAACATTAAAATTCAGTTCAGTCTTATTTCATGTATTTATTAACTTCATCTGAAGAGGCTCTGAAAAGCCAAGATCTTCTGTAGGACATTCTTTCAGTGTTGAAGGAATTGTTATTCTAGATAGGTTTAACCCACTCCCATCATGGACTATTCTAAAGATCTAGATGTCTAGTATCTTGGGTTGTCTAATATCTCGGTAATGTTGACACCATGATGCTGAACTTAATACTGGCTTTGGAATTTCTGTTTCAAATTGCAGATTTAAAAAGTATGCACTAACTTTCTGCTTGCTTTGTCCCAACTCCCTCCCAAACTTTTTTAGAAATAGGCTTTTAAATTTTTAACTTGGTGTCCTAGAAGCCTGGAAATGACTTTAGTGAACCCCAATATGAACAAACTGTTTAGATTCGGGCAGTCCTGTAAAGGAAGAAGAGTGATCAGATGTAAAGTCTCTGACCACTTTCCAGATGCAGAGAAATAGAGTACACTTTCCATCTTTAGGTGGAAAAAGACAACAGGAGTAGAGATAAGCAAAAGAAAAGGGAAGATACTACAGCAGAGGTCTGCGGTGTCATGAATAATGTAGAGGTCATCAGTGGAGGCTGTGTCCAGATTATTTCTAGCCATAAAGGAATTAAGGGAAATAACGTGGAACTGTGAATCAAATAATTTTTTCTCTTTAATTGCCATTTATTGAATCAGATAACCAAAGAATGTTACAGTCAAAAAATATAAACAGGTAGAAGTCAGAGTTAGACAGATTTTTGAAGAATGGGCTTATTTGTAGATTCTTGACTTTAAGATGCAATTTACAGCTCATGAAGTCCCTAAACTGCTGATTGCTGTGTGCTTCCAATGTAACTTGTTTTGTGCAATCTTTTTTTTTGAACACAGCTTCTGGCAACAGGGTAGTTCAGTGTAATGAGGTCCGTTCCTATGAGGAATCATTGACATGCTAGTTTGTTTTTTCTTTCTTTTTTCTTCAGTCTCCCACAGTCAAATCACCCGCTTGTACAGCCGCTTCACCAGCCTAGACAAAGGAGAAAATGGCACTCTTAGGTGGGTATCTCACCAATTCAGCTGTCCTTGCTTAAACATATCTGTAATAGTGGCTTGCTGTTGCAGGATGCCTGCATGTTTTCCTCATATGGTGAATCAGTGAGGCTACTATACAACAGGTTCTTTCATACCTACTGTTGACACGGACATTCAAGTTTGTTCCCTTCTATGAAAGGTCAGGAGAAATCTGATTGTTGAACTGAAGTGCTCTAAATACCAATTATCTTTACTGTAGTGCTGAAGGTTTGTAGCAGTTAATACAAGAAAGGTCAGATTTCATGTTCAAGGTCTTACAACAAATGTGTAGAAATGTTAAAGCATGTGTTTAGGTTGTTCTGTCTTACCTTTCTTTATATGTTGCTTCTAATAAGTATTACAAGAATGGTTCCACTATGTCCTCTTCATCCTGGCTTTCGTAACAAAAATATTCTGTGTTTTTGGGAGCATGGGCTCTTAATGTGTCTTTTAACACTACTTTGATCTGTAAGCCCTTTACTATTTTTAACTTTGCACCTCTTGTGGAACACTCATGTCTACTAGTATGCTCAGAAATAAAAGAAAGAACAGGAGTCGAGTCACTGTGACTAAACAAATGAACATTTTATTCTTTAAAGCAGTAGTGCAGGATATTCAAAGACTTTTAAAGTGTTTGTCTTCTATCTACAATTTGAAACTTGCAGAAGTGAACCAGTTTCTTACAACTTAATCAGTTAAATAAAGATGAGGCTTAAACTTCATCTGCAAAACATTTTTCTCTTTGATGGACTGAGTCTGCTGGAAAGAGTATTCTCAACTGAAAGGTAAACTGTAGTGGGATGATTGCCTGTTAAAATATGTCTATGCCTGCTGTCTTTGTTTCCAAAAGCCTTCCTCACTCTGTTTTTTGTGTTGTGTACTGGTACTGGTTTGCTTTTTATTTACTGAACTAATTGGGAATTCTGATTGTATTAAATTGCTTATTATTACTCTCTTTTGATGTTGCCTACAGATTACATTAGTATTGTGGAAACATGACAAATAAGAGCTGTTCATGATTGCACCAGGGGCGCAATTTTGCTACCAGCATAGTTGGTCTAAGACCATACTGCCATTGAAAGTCTGTTGCTTTTCTGTGTTGATGTTGGTACTCCAGGCTCATCTTTGGAAACTAACCTACAGCTTTGAAAACTTGCCAAGCAAAACAACAAAAAAGGAATCTGATCAGTTTTCAGGTAGATATTGTTTCCCATTCACCATGTAGTAGCATATGCCAGAACCAGTGCACAGGGAAGCTGGAGAGAATGCAGGAGAGAGTAGGAAGGGGAAAGGGACCTTGTAGCATAGTATATGGGGTCTGGCTGAGCCGGAGTTAATTTTTTTTCATAGCAACCCCATCCCAATCGAAGCCAGTGAACATAGATTCAGGGATCACCTGGAATTTTGTATATGATCTTGCATAATGTGATCATAGGATGCACTATAAACCTATAAAAGCTAGACCTGCCTATAAAGCAACCTAACTATAAAGCTAGAATCGCTGCTTAGAAGTTGAAGGTGACGAGTTGTAAGATACACTCTTTGGCAGTACCGCTGGCTTCCTGCAGCTTCCTTTCCTGAAGGAAATATGCAGTTCCTTCTGGTGCCACAAATTGCTGACTTCTCAGTTAACATTTAAGTAATTGGTTGTGGAGTTGTACTGTAAACAGGACTACTGAGTGATTATTTTTGGTTAAAAATACTCTCCCTCCCCTTTTGGTTTGTGTAGGTATTTTTAAGCTGACTCCAGTGATTTGGACTGTGGCTATACTGTAAATACCTGGACTTGCACAGCTGAAGGGATGACAAAATGGATTGTGGGTGTGGAAACAATTGGTTTGGGATGGGATGGGCAGGAACTTCTTAAGCCCACTCTGTCACGGAAGCCAACGTATCATATAAATTGCAGCATTGGCTAATTGGCAATTGTGACATACAGGTCAGCTGATGATATTGTAGGTAAGGTTAATACTGCTTATGAGTCAAAATTAAGTTGCTTAAAAGAAAAACACAACAGCCTCTTCAGACTTTGCATGTGGGTTTAGCCTTTGCTGATGAATAAAGGTGATGGCTGCCAGACTAGCACAATTTGAACATAGCCCATGTTCTTCCTCAACTCCTCCCTCCAACTTTAAATTCACCTGTTGAGTCCATAACGTTTGTATAAACTTCAAAGTGATTGTACTGACTTTACCTAAGAGTAATTAATTAAATATGCTATGAATGTCTGTTGCACAATGCTTAGTTTCATAGCGTTACGTATCAGAAGAAGTTTGACTTTCATTGTCGATAATCATGTGGTACTTGGGGAAAGGAAGTGAAGTTTGTTTGGAAAATCCCAGCAACTGTGCAAACTGTGATCCATTAACTTGCAGTCTTGGCCTCTTAAGCATAGGCTGCTCCTAAATGTGGCTGGCTTAGAGTGGCATTCAAATTTTGAAACCTGTCCTGGCACCTACAATATGTGGAAACCATTAAGTTTATGTAATGGAAAACTACTTCCTGAAAAAAAAAAAAAACCAATGAGGGAAGAGTAAGAACTACAGCTTGGAAGGTCATAAATGTTGGTTTCTGAAATACTGATCAAAGAGAACTTGCTACTTTGAGACAAGTAGATGAGATGAAGTTATCACTTGCTTACTACTGCCAAACAGTTTAGAAGACATGTCTTCTTTTTGTTTCCTGTGAGCAAGAATGATTATTTCCATAAGGATGAGTTATATCTTTGACTTACAAAACAGACATGACAGAAATCGCTCATGTGACTATGATCAGGAAAAGAAGTGTTAGGCAGTTCTTTATGGCATGAAATAAATCTTTAAATGTGTACCACCCTTCTGAAGAACGGGAAAAGCTGTATTGTCCTTCTTATCTACCCATTAAAAATGGGCAAGGTAAAGAGCACTTTGTACAGAAGATCTGGTAGATGATGATTAATCCTAGTGGTTAGAGAAGACAGGTAGTTAATTCTGGAACTATAATCAAAAGCTGAAATCTTTCCTAGCCAGATGTTTCTATCCAGTGTACCTATGTGCACTTTCAAGGCACTTTCTTTTTACAGAGTTACATAAATGAGATGTAAGAGAAGGGCATTGATGGAGACAAAACTTCATGTGCCTTGTTTTGGCTTCCCCCTCCCCCGTCTTATCCTCTAAATGACTACAGCCATGGTTACTGATTAATTCTTATAAACTCTTTAAAAGTGTAGAAAAGTGTTATATTTTTCCTAAGCTTTACTTTTCCTAAACAAAATGAGTAAGCTCCGTCAGACTTGCACCATCTGAATTAAGCCAGGTTGTAAAAGCCAGGACAAAACTGTTTCTTTGAAAATTTTTTTGTCATCTTTGATTTCAATATTGTGACATCCTGAGTTGCCAAAATAACAGGTTGATGCCCTTGAATGTGCATAGCTACATCTACATTGTGAAATCCGAAACATAACTTGCTCTGCCTACATCCTAACTATAGGTCAGGAGGAAACCAGTGTGCATGTTTTCTTCTTTACATTCTGATTTCCAAGATGAGGAAATTGAAGCATGGAGCAGGATAAGTATGTGCTCGCTTCAGTAAGTCTCCTTGTTGGACTGGTACTGAAGTGCCACAGAAGAATACATCTGCTCCAAAATTCATCTACTAGTAAGTAGCTCTAGACAGACATGTATAGAGCTATAAAAAGGAGATACTTGTCTGAACTGCTACTTTTGCATGTAACTTTTGCATGGATCCTCCCACTTACAGTAGTTTCTCCTGCACTGGGGAAATGACAGGTTAAGCACTTCAGATGTATTTTTTACTGTACAGCAATTGGTATAGCCTGGTGAGTGTGGAAGAAGGAAGGGAGGGCAAGTATTCTGAAAGCTGATACATGAGGACAATAGACACACTGAGCTGTTTATGCCTATCTCATGCTTATGAAAGCTGTTCACAAGATGGTGTCTCCTGGAGAACTTCAGAAAGCCTCTGATCCTGAGAGAAGGGTAATGACAGCTAGCTGGGCCATCTGTTAATCTTTGTCAGTGAATTGAATCATCTCAGTCTGGAAAGATTTCAAAGTAAAACATAAAACCTAGCTCTCTGAACATGGAATTCTTTACCTTTGCTTAAGAAAATGCAAAGGATTTCTAGCTTTATCTGAAACAGACAAGACAGACAGGATATGGGTTTGGATTGGAGAATGATAGGGTAATAAAATAGTCTATACTTCTGTTCTCGACCATGTTTTTTTTATCCACACTGCTTGCCCCCCCCCCCGGTTGCTTATCTAATTATCACCTTACCTTTAGTGTACTTCTTGGCCTAATGTTTATAAACCAATTACTCCTCCAATGGTTAAGTGACTTTTTAAATTTGTGTAGAGCATGTGTAAGGTTGAAATTAGATGAGGTGGCTGACACGGCTGTGAAGGAAGAGGATATCCATCCTCTTTACCTGTCACTTCTCCAGGCTCCCAGTACCTCTCTGTCAGCCATGGTGCTGTTAGGTTTTTGAAGTTTTTTGAACTGGTTCAAGTTGCTAATTCGACAGAAAGATAACTGGGAGGATGGAGAGGAGGAAGGTGGGGAGCTTTTTGGGGGGTTAGTGGGATACATTAGGCCACCAAAAGGTCTGATGAATGACAAAGCTAACGTTGGCAAGGGAAGGGAGCAATGAAACTCCTTCAGCAGTAACCTGTTAAATCTGTTTGACCATCTTGCATGATACACCCTACTGCTTTTAATTATTTGCCTTTCTCAAGTAATTTCCTGTTGCTTATATCCTCTGGACATTTTTCTTCTCTGCCACTTCTGTTTCGCATATGGTTTGTTCTCTCCATTGTTTTACACTCCCTCAGCTCTAGATAGCCCTACCCTCTTCATCCTTGTTGAGGGATCAGTACTTTCTGCTACTATGTAGAAGTAAAAGAAGGATGAACAACCAGAAATAATGGAAGAAAAAAAGGGTCTAGTAGGTTTCTTGCAGCCTTTGGGATAAGGCAGAGCCACCTTTATGGTAGGGATCTGCTATGTGCCTTGGAGGGTATATTCATGCTTAGAAATACTTGTCTGACTTAGCAGTAAGGAATTTGTAGATTCTAAGTATGTCTAAGTGTGAATGCACTGGCATATATGTTAAATGGTTGGCCTGCATAATGATGACATGCAGTTGAAGGTTGCTTTGTATGTTATGTTTAAGCAAGGATTTAATAGATGCCAGATTTCTGGAAAGATGTGTTAGAAGAGCCTTGTTGCTATGGCACATGAACACAGAAGTAGAGGGCATGGCATTTCCTGTAAGCTCCAGCCTCAGCCAGGTGAAGTTGGTCCCTAATGACTGCAGGAAGCCTTAGTTTATAAAGTAGAGAATAACTTGGATCATGCATTCATTTACTTTTATGGCTGTTGCAGCTATTTCAGTTATAACATTCACTCATTAATGTGCTCTTAATAAGCAAAAATAGTCTACTGCAATCCTGATAATGACAGGGCAAATAGATTTGAAACCTGGGGAGTTATATGTGGTTAATTGTTAATCTGTTAGAAAGCAGAACAACTGGAGGCTGAAATGCTGAGTGTAAATTGAGGCTCAATACTAAGAAATAGTGATACACAAGTAAAAAATTCTGAAGCATTAGGATTTTGCCTAAGTGGAAGAGAGGGCAGTTGCTGCTTTTAGTTTGTAAATGTTAGCACTGACACTGAAGTCCCGTTGTTAAAATTTTGTTACTAGGACATAGGTTTTCCACATCAGTGCATCTCTTGCCTAAATCACTAATGCATACTTTGCCCTTCAGCGATAGCTTAAAATGCAACGGTCCTGAAGGGTCTGGTAACAAGCTGATCATGTTATACCTGTTAACTTTGCCCATTAAAAATAATTCAGACCTGGTCAGAGGAGAAGTTTGTTGGAATAGCTTAAATATATGGTCAGGTAGCTCTATTAGAAGGTCAAACAGTTTAACCATGTTGTAACAGATACAATATAATTGGGACTCTTTAACAGTGCTGTGGTGTGACTGGGTGCAAGGAGTGCTTTGGCATGCATTTAAAACTAGAACGCCTTGCTCCTGTGCCTTTCCCAGGCTAGACTAGTAATAAGGTTAGCCAGTTCTTTTCTTCCCCTGTCTTTAAGATCACAGTATTATAAAAGGCCAGTATACTTAAATAACCTCAAAATCTGTGTTTACTTTACTCTGCCAGTTTTTTTTGTGTAATAACATCATGAATCAAACCTTGTTGCTGATTCATTTAGTGAGCATAGGTTTCAAAAGTAACAAGCATTTAGTAACCAAGTTTGAGACTTTGACCCAAACTTCAAAAACAGCAGGACAGCATTTGACCTGAAGGGAATTGTCAATGTTTCTGGAGACTGGGCAGGAAATGTCAAGTTATGCATCCAGACAGAATAGATTTTTTTTTTTTTTTACAGCCTTACCTCATTGCTGTTATCTTTGCAATTTAAAACCTAGATGATTACGGAGTACATCTTGTACTAACTGATAAATTGCTGTGCTCCATTGGGGACAACGGACACGAATCCCAGAAAACCCAAGCCTATTGACTGAAGTATTCACTAAGACACACTTAGTGTGTCTGCCTTGTTCACACCAAGGTTATCCCACTTCCCTGTTAGTGACATTCTATTAGGTTGAAAGAAATGAAAAATTATTAGTGCAACTCTAATAATAGAATGAACCCTATGTTCTTGTCATACTGATCTAAAATGTGTTTACATCAGTACAGCTTATGATGTCTCCCAGATCAGAAAAAGCTATAACAGTGTAAGCATAGCTGTGCTTATACTATACTGTGTACATATAATCATAAGCAGAAAGGAGAATGGATGGCAAGAGCGGTGAGTATTTGCAATGTACTGGTGAAGTTACATGTGGTGTACAGGCCCCTGTCAGAGTCTAAATTTACTACGTTAAAACAGGGGCGCTGCTTGGTTGAAGCAAAAATGATCTGAAATTTGGCATTTATAATAAGATACAAAGTTGTTGCATTAAACAACAAAAAAAATCTATTAAATATGCAGATCACCTGTGGTATGTTTGTAGGAGTATGATATTGTCCAAGGAGCTGGAATGGGGTAGTCTGGAAAAATCATACAGACTCAAATGATTCTGTACAAAAATAATTATTAAAAAAAAGTTCATTCAAAAATTTCATTTTCATTTTGAAGCCATATTTTCCTTCAGAGTCATTTCAGAAGCTTTCCTTAAATTGCGAACTAGTTGGCATCATTACAGGAAGGTTTGTAGCACAAACAATGTTAGCATCTGAGAAGTGCTGTTAACATGATAAATGAACACTACTAGTCTGTAATGTAATACAGGCTTGGCATTGTCTTTTTGCTTTGTTTTGTGCCATTAGTCATAGAGAAAACATAATTTAAAGAATTACATTTTAAAAACCACCAAGTATCTTGCTGCAGAAATAGAACCCAATGGATGTTTTACTGTGAATTCTTTTTTAAGCCACTTTTTATCCTCTGACTTCAACTTTATGCAGATTTCTTGTGTTCTTGCTTTACTTAGCCGTGAAGACTTCCAGCGGATTCCAGAGCTTGCCATCAATCCACTGGGAGACAGAATTATCAATGCCTTCTTTCCAGAAGGGTGAGTTCCAATGGGCTGAATTTGCAAGCAGGCATAAAATTTGTAGTTCGTTACAAGTTTTGATAGGAGTGAAATGCTGATAATTAAAGCACAGAATTTGAATTTACTAATAACTGAACACCTCAAACTTGTCATGAAATGTGTGTGGGTATGTTGTTTCCTCAGCATGTTTTCATTCTGTAATGAGAAATACTTCACAACCTTACAAGAGTCTTGTGTGCTTTATTCATTGACAAATTCAGGATTCATGTCAGTTTTCCACTCTTCTTTCTATGCCGCTGAACACTTCTAAAGAAAGTCAAGGGCATGTATGGACTTTGGTTCTTAAAGCAAACTTGTAGCAATACTATTTTATGCTAAGTAGTATTGCAGTTAACTAATTCAGTCTAGTTTTTCACCTTTTAGCCTCTAAGTGTACGTTTGTTATTAGATCAGCTTTTTTTGTTTGCTTGTTTTTAGTTTCTGATCACATTTAAGACACAGCTTATGGCACTTCTAACATAAATCCAAAGAGATGATCAAATTTGCAGTACTGTCTCTCTTCATTATACCTCTCTAGATTGTTCTATGTAATCTCCTGCTGTTCTTGAACACATTTGTCATTACTGACAGATGAAGATCAAATTTTCTAATCAAGTCATAATATCAGCTAATACCAGGCAGGGTTTCCTGAATAGAAACCAGGAGCCCTGGAAAGTACTTACGTAGCTGGTTCCCACAGAAACTGTAGAGAAGAGAGCTATTTGTCAGGGAACAGTGATCGATGGCTGCCCCACAAGCAGGAGGCAAGGGTGACAGTGGAGCTGGCAGGGGCGATGTACTCGCTGACAAAGGGCATAGCACCTGAACAAGAAAAGCAGAGCAGGTCCAGTGACTGTTGTCCCGTCAGCCAGCAGTCCAGTGGTTGCCAGACAAGTTGGCAGTGGTGAAGCAAGTCTCAGGTCAATCCAGGGAATCGGGGTCCAGATCAGCAAGATACATTGCCAGACTCAGGCATAGCTGTGGGATAGCTCAGGCAAGGGCCGAGGGTGAGGGCTTGAGCTTAAATAGAGCTTGTAGGCAGGGGAGCCCTCAACAAGACTTCTCACTGCTGCTTTTTTTTTTTTTTTTTACACATCATACTTCACAACAGCGCAATCCCAGGTTGCCACTGCATTGTGTCAGAGCTGCGTTTGAGCGTAGGGAGCCAAACCCTGGGGAGGTGGGAGTGAAGAGTCTGTATGGTGTTAATGCTTTAGACATTCATACTCTTCTTTACTGAAATAAAGAACTTGTATAAGCTAAGCTAAAACTGACCTGCTGAAATGCTTACCCAGAGAGGACCAGGTGAATTTCCGTGGATTCATGAGGACACTAGCCCACTTCCGACCCATAGAAGATAATGAAAAGAGCAAAGACCAGAACGGACCAGAACCACTGAACAGCCGAAGTAACAAGCTCCACTGTAAGAAATGTGAACCTTCCTGTAGAAACAATTACTTTTCTTTTTTTTGTTTTTCTGTGAAGAGAGTGAAGGGGCTTGGGGTCTTCTGTACAGTCGTTCCCTGTGGAATGGTATTGACTAATACCTGATTTGTTTTTTAAATTAACTTGCAAGCTTACTTGTTCAGAATGTCAACAATTGACCCATTCTTGTATTGGAATTTGATGGAATTGGTTGAATCTTGAGTAACGTATATGCTTTTTCCAAACATCTCGTAACAGAGGTGTTGCAAAATGGTTTGCATCCAAAGTTATTTCAGATTTAGAAGCCACATCCCATACATGAATGGGCTTTTCTGCTTCTTTATCCAGTCTTCTATATAACACAGGGCTTTTTCCTTACCTTCAGCTGAGTACTTTCTTGAGTATTTGGACGTCTGCCTACAGTGTGAGCAGAATGCTCTTGCTCACTAATCAAAGCTGGCAACAGTCCTCAGAGCACTTAAAATTTCTGTCATATCTCATCCAGAATATAGTCAAAGAGAATGAATGGTAATGTAAAAATGGTTGGCTCTGAAGTTAAAGGATTGAATGTATCTTCGTGGTAATTATACTTCCATGACTTGGGGCTTTGAAGAAATACCTCTGCAAGCAGAGTGCTTCTGGAAGCACTCATACTGAGTGCTTAAGTAAGATTTTTTTTTTTCACTTCTTGGCAATAATGCTATTCCTGTATGTGGTAATAACACTTTATGGAGCTGAACATGAATTTTATGGTGAATTGAAATTCTAAGCTAATTCTCTTAAAATGATTTATGAATACCATTTTCTTTTTTAGATAAATGTATTGTTATGAAGAAAAATAATGGCACTTGAATTAAGCTGCTTGTTATTTTCTTCCCTGTAGTTGCTTTTCGGTTATATGATCTAGATAAAGATGACAAGATTTCCAGGGATGAGCTTCTTCAGGTAAATAGCACAGGGCTGCTTTGAATGACTCCATCATGACCTTCTCTGTGACCTTACACCCATTTAGAATGAAGAGGGGAGTTACAACAGTCTTCTCAAAAGAACTCCTGAAGGAATTTGGTGGCTAATTGCTTATCTCTGGTTTAAAGCATTAGATATGGTATGAGACTTTAATCTCATTTGATAGGCCAGGCTGTTCTGTCAGACTGGGAATGCTAGATTCGGGTTTAAACCAGAGCGTTAGGTTAAGCAGATCCTATTGGAAACAATACCTAAATATCCAACAAATACACTAAGCGCTTTAAGAACTACCTTCTATAGCTTTCAAAGGTGCTTCTAACAGGGCTTCGTAGGGACAGTCCTTGAGCTGGATTAGGTTGTTTGCCTGATCCTCTGTGTATCCTCTTGATAGAAAAACACTTCTTGAAATTGCAGCAAAGGTAATCAAAGTTCATCAGTGCTGCATATATATGAAACTAGTCTTGAGCTAGGAGTAATTACATACTACTAATCCTGGGAAGCAGACATGGCAATTTGTGGTTCCTGATGCAGGACAAGGATTTGCTTTTCACTGAAACTGCCCTCTTCTACTTGCACAGAAAATGCTTTACTCACTGTAGAGAGTAATGGCAGTTATCACTTGACCATACACTTACAAGATTCCCGTAGGCAACTATCTCAAACAGCAGATATTCCATCAAATGTTGATATGTTTTGTGGGGAAAAAGAGACAAAAGCATTGGAACAAAACATACTCATTTCTAGTTCCAAAAGCTTTCTCAGACTTCTACCTCTTCCTGCTGCCTAGTGAAAAAGCAGGATTCTTTGTCAAAAGTGGCAAAAAAGGAAGCTGTCTTTCCTGAATGCCTTGATGTTCAAAGGACAAATAGAAGTCTGTCTAGAAATTACTTCCATGGAAACCCTCCAGGGTTGTTCTTGTATAGTGTTATTTTGACAGTATACATGAGAAAACAGCATGAAGAATACTTCTGTTTGTGTGGGGTTTTTTTTATTAAAAAAAAAAATTGGGACTTCTGTATGTTACAGGTATTACGGATGATGGTTGGTGTAAACATTTCAGATGAGCAGCTGGGCAGCATTGCTGACAGGACAATCCAGGAAGCTGATCAAGATGGGGATAGTGCCATCTCCTTTGCAGAGTTTGTAAAGGTTGGTGAACTACATATTTAATGACTGAATGAAACTGCTCAGTAATGGGCAAGTCATTCAGACTTAAATGCAAATGGAAACAGACAGGAAGTCGTTCAGATAGTCCTGCCTGCATTTGGGCAGAGCAAGCCTTCTGCTAGCTCTTTTTCTTCCCTTCTTTATCAGGACTTTTTTATACTGTCAGGGTACTAATAATTAGTCCATATGTTTCTTCATACTCTTACATGAACCATAGCACTTGAATATACTGCAGAATTTTCACTACTTTTGCAACCACTTCTTTCTACAGAAGTAGCCTGGCTAGCACAGTTACAACAGAGTAATTCTGCGGCTGTAATTGTGCTGATCAGTTTTCACTTGTAGGTTTTATCTGTTAGCAACACAACTAATATCAATATTCAAATTCCTAGCTCTAGTCCTTTGAATTACATCTTTTGTTAGTCAGAAATGAGAAATAGTAAGGAGCCGTGTTATAGTCAGTGGAGAAAGTTGTCCTATAGCAGAACAATTCAACTACCTAATGGGATGGTATTGACAAGAGGAACCAGACTCATCTTGGAGGTGGACAAAGATAGGACAAGAAGCAACAGAAACAAGTTGCAACATGGGGAATTCTGGTTAGCTATAAGGAAAACTTTTTACCAAGAGGATGATCATAGGTGCTGAAGATGTAGAACCTCCTTTCTTGGAGATATTTAAGACTTAACTGGACAAGGTCCTGATCTAGCTGGCCCTGCTTTAAGCAGGAGTTGAGGGAGTTGGACTAGAAGACCTCCAGAGGTCTCTTCAATCTTAAATTACTCTGATCTTGGAACACTGAAGTCTACTGCCTGAAACAGTCTGGAGCAGGCTAATGTCTTTGTTCCTCAGTGTTAACAGCAATTCAGTGAACGAAGTTGCCACCCCAGTTTTACAATGATCTGCATTAGTGATGCTGTCGTCTTGATTTTAGCTCTTCAATGACTGCTCATGCCCCTTCCTCTACTCCATTCTCCCTTCTGTTTCCCAGCCATGCATTCCCACACAATCTAAACTTGGGAATCCAAGCCTTTCTGGGCTGTTGGCAGACTGAAACTGCATTAGTTACGTTTTGGTTGACAGCCTTCTTCCAGCTTTAATGGCTGAAGTTTCCTTCCTTGGAAGGACCTTAGCCCAGAATGAAAAACAGCAGTCTCTAGATGAAAGACTGGCATGCCAAATTGAAGACATCCCATGTTCCTGCCCATTTCCTGTATACTAGAGTAAGAAACCTTGTAGGAGAGAAGTATGTACAGTAACTTAAGTAGCTGTTTCTGAATTTTATTGCAGGTTTTGGAGAAGGTGGATGTAGAGCAGAAAATGAGCATTCGATTTCTTCACTGATGGATGGAGAACCTATTCCTTTCTACCCCTACTATATAATGAATAGAACTTCATTTTTCTCCTTAGCACCTTCCCCCAGAGCATTGCTACTGGTGCATATACAATACATCTCCAACCCCTCCCTGATTTGTTCTACCAATGTGAACATTCCTTGTGCATCAGGAACAAAGGGAAATGGCTGCCATGCAACTTGGAAAGGAGCATTTTTTTTAATTGTTTCCTTCCATTTTTTTTACCCTTTCTCCCTTGTCTCTTTCTGCACTACTGTTTAAGCAAAAATGTCTCTCCTTATGTACTGCTGTTTAATCTACAAACTGATTCTTCTGAGCTCTGAATCTGAGAATGGAAAAACAGGAACATGCCACAGAAGCACCCTCTGAAACACTTTGGAGACAAGCATCTACTCAACTACTAGGTGCAGTGATAATGATTCACTTTTGCTTCCAGTAGCAACACCACACTACAGCTGCCTTTTTTTTTTTTCCTTTCCCATTTGGCTCTTTACATGTAGATTTTTTTTTTTTTTTTTTCCCCTCCTTACTTCCAAATCTGCCTTTTACTTGAGGACTTCTCAATTTCTATGGCTTCATTGTACAACTAGCACTGAATGCATGATGATAGCCTAGAGTACTTTAAAGTACTGTGAATAGATTTTATTCTTTGTGGGATGAATTCACAGGGACAATAGGAGAATCTATGGTGGAGACAGGCTGTGGTGTCCTCAGAAGGAACAGAAATTCTGCACTAAGTCACTTAAATTGTTCCAGCAGCAGATGCAGAAATTTGTTTCCTTCCTTTGAGTAGCTTGCAGGCTTGACAGCCAGTGGACCATGAAGTGCCATCTCCAGGTTGCTTCGCTCTAGGATCCCTCCGCTCATCAAAGTGGTTTTGCCTCTGAAAATGTAAACTTGTTTACCAGTGTACATAATGCAAGAAAACTAGTTATGCCAAAATCTGGATTTGTAGTTCTGTCACTGGCCCCTGGTAATAGTGTCATGAAACATAGTACACTTTTTTTTTTCCCTCCCCTCTTTTAAATCATAGTGGCCTGGATAATCAGTAATTATTTACATTTTCCAGTATGGAAGTCCTGGTCTGTTAGATTTGTGTTGAGGGTGGTAGCTGTATTTACGAAAGCTCCAGCATAAGAATATCATTTGCGGAAGTACATATTATCCCAAATATTTCAGAATATTTTTCTCCACCAATCTCTTTGCAAGTGTAAGATGATTAATACCATTAATATAATGCTGATAAATTCAAGAGATCAATAACTTTGATAATACAAAACAATTTTCTGTGGCTAGATTGGCAAATAATCTCATCTAGTTCAGCTGGAGCATCATATAGTCTGGGAGGTCCTTCCAATAAAACCAAAAATCCCTGGGAGCTTCTTCATTGAAGAATCAGTGTTAAAACTGCTTCTCTATGTCATGTGTTAACATTTCTATAAATACTGACCAGTATCAAACTACCCTCAAATGTGCATTTCCTTTTTTCTCAGTTCCTTTAATCATTGCTTGTGTTAAAGAATAACATGCAAGTCTCTGAAGGATTTTTGATTTGTTTTAAATTAAGGAATTGCAAAGTGAAATGTTGCACTTCATTGTTTTGCAGAGTGCAGCACAATTCCAGAAAAAATGTAAATCGAAAACCTCTACTCTGTATGAGAAAAACATTATAGTTTTATGACCATGTCATGTAAAATAGGAATGTAACATTGTTAACAGATTGAAAAGTAAATAAGTGTTGGTAGGCTTTGTGCTCTGCTTAAAAGTAGGTGTTGCTCTCTTCTGGCTCTATAGTTGTAACCTACAGTTGTGCCTTATTGTCCCAGTGAGACTGGATATTGTATTTATCAGTCCATAAATAAACCCTCCACTGTATTAAAAAAAAAAAAAACAAAACCAAAAACTATTCCTGTATGGTAATTGACTATCCTTTAATGACTGGAAAAGTTAAATACCAGTAGAATGGTGCTAGCAGGTCTTACAGATCAATTTTTTTATTGTTTTATTAGTTATTAGTGCAAAAATGAGCTCCAGAAGAGGACATGCACTTGTAGTACTACATTATGGATCCCCCCACAACATGAATTTTGCACCTTTCCATGGTTCCAAACTAGGCTTTTTTTTTTTCCCCCTCACCATAGTGTTCTAATTAAAGGGTATGTAATACTAATGCTAGTTTGTGACCTTATAAGCCCCACCTTAGAAATCAGGTATTTATGCTAATGTGCTTTAAGGTGAACACAAACACTCTAATAGGTGCACAGCAAAAAAAAAAAAAAAAAAAAAAAAAAACCCACACCAAACCAAAACCCCACCCCCCCCCCCCCCCGATAAACAAAAAACAGCCCAGTTATCAGAATCTAACTTTGCTGTTAGCTGTATAAATCGCATGGCAGCCATTAAGTATCATATTCAGTGTTCTGAAATCTACATATTTAACATGTAACTTAAAAGGTGGTAGACAGTAAGAGAAGTTTTACAAAGCTGAGATCTTACATTTATCTTAAATTTAAAATTGTCCAAAACTAAGCTGTACAGATATCAGCAGATCTCCACAAAAGTAGTATTTTTGGCATACCTGATTGCTTGTAGAAATTAAGTCTTCTTGAAAACAAAGGTCATCTTTGAAGGTTAAAGTCTGGAAGAGGGATGAGATCATCAGCTCGAGGGCAGAACTACTTAATATTTGATCTTTGCCTTTTGAAAAAGCAGTGTATGGGATAGGTATTTAAGTGCAGATGAACCATTTTCCAGTCTACTGGCAAAGAGGAAGTAAAGTCTATTTCCAAATCCGCAGACTCAAGTTATATGTTATTTTGAGAATTTCTGGATGGTTGGCTGCATGCAGCCAATTAGTTTTCATTAACTGTTAGAGTATTTTGAAGACAACAGAAAGCAGAAATAGGTTTGATAGCTAATCAATAGTGAAAGGTGGCAAATGAGTTGACTTAAATAGCTACAGGCCCATGAGCTTGGCATCAAGTCTGGGCAAAAGAAAGGAATCTCAGTGCAGGGTTTGACTCATGAGGAGCAGAAGTAAAAATAATGTTGGTTTCCATAACTTTACAACGGGAAATTACTTGAAAGGTCTGCTTTCAGTTCTTTGAAACTACGACTTTGGTTGTAAGTACTGCATTGATGTCGTCCTTAGGTTGGCAGAAGTGTTTCATTTAAGCTGACAGTCTGCATTAAAACACTACATAGTAGAAAAGTGTGCATTAAATGGATTAAGATTTCAACTGAAGCGGCTTGTAGTAGTTGTCTGTGATGAATCACGGTTAAATGGGGGTGTTTCTCGAGAGTTTTCTGAATGGGTATCTACTCCTCTTCACGCTATTGAATACACTCACCCGTCAGCTTGAAGTGTAAAATTACCGCTGCTAAAAAAAAAAAAAAAAAAAAATTTTGCAGATGACACAAAAACTGGCAGAATGAATAAAGGCAGTTATTCAGAGCAATCAAGATCCCTTGATAACGGCGGCCGGTGCGGGCGGCGGTGCTGCTGCAGCCGGGATTTCACACACGCCGACCGGCAGCGGGGGGGGCGAGG